TGGTATTTACTAGCCAAGGAAGATTAGACATATGTCTTATAATGGTGAACTGTCAGACACAATTTTCATATGCCCCACTGTACTTTTCAGGTTATGTAAAATCTACCCTTAATGCCTAAATCTATTTTACACATAAACACAAAGCATTTTTTTTTTGCATGTTCTGACATCCTCTTACTTCTCAAAAACATAACTTCCAATGTCTCTCAGGGGAAATTTTAATGCAATTTAGTCAGAGCTTTGTCAGGAGTTGTCTGTCATTTTGGAAAATCACCCTGCAGAAGGCAAGGTCACTCATGGTATTTTCCCCACTGCCACATTACCCTCCTGTTATCAGTCTACATTTGTGGTGGTCACATTCTCAGATGTGTATGTATAGATAAATAGCTCAGATTATTTATTATGTCTTCTAAGGTCACGTCAAAGCACTCACATTTTGAAATGTATATTATTTTATACATTTATCTTCATTTCATAGTAAAGGTGACATACTGTCACCATTTTTGTTTTTGTTTTTTGGAAAAGTACGGATTCACTTCAGGATAGTGAAGGGGACATTATAAAATGTCTTCTAAAAACCTGGTGTTGAGTCTAAAAGTGTTGAGAATTCTGCTATGTACCATTGTCCTTAAAATAATCTGTCCTTAAAACAATACTTCACTCAGGCCACACTTTCAAAATCCCCACAGTCCTTAAGATCACTTTCCAGTCGGGGGCCTGGTTGGCTCAGTAGTTTAAGCATCCCACTTCCTCTCTGGTCATGATCTCACAGCTCATGAGTTCAAGCCTAGCATCAGGCTCTCTGTTCTCAGAGCAGAGCTCACTTCAGATCCTGTCTCCTTCTTTCTCTCTCTATCCCTCCCCGACTAGCACATGTTTGTTCTCTCTCTCTCTTCCCCCAAAATAAAATAAACTTAAAAAAAATCCCTTTCTAGTATGTCTTTTCTTGTCTACTAACAGTGGCTAAAACTTCCAGTGCTATGAGAAAAAAGGGTGACAGCAATCATTTTTTCACCATTAAATATGATGTTATTAGCTGCAGATATCTGGTCGATGCTCTTTATCAAGTTAAGGTTATAAGGTCATTCCCCTATATTTTTAACTCATTGAAAAATTTTTGTAATGAATGGGTGTTGGATTTAATCAAATGCTTTTTGCTGTGGTAATGGATATGGTAATGATTTATCATATGATAATATGATTTTCCTTCTTTTATTTTTTCTTAAAAGATTTCATTTTATTTTTTTTAACATTTATTTTTAAGAGACTTAGAGAGACAGAGTGTGACAGGGAGGGGCAGAGAGAGAGGGAGTCACAGACTGAAACAGGCTCCAGGCTCTGAGCTGGCAGTCAGCACAGAGCCCGACGCGGGGCTCGAACCCACGAACCGTGAGATCATGACCTAAGCGAAAGTCGGACGCTTAACCGACTAAGCCACCCAGGCGCCCCGAAAGAGCCCAGTTTGTAATTAAGTTAAAAGTAGGGGTGCCTGGGTGGCTCAGCCGGGCAAGTGTCCAACTTTGGCTCAACTTATGATCTCACAGTTTATGAGTTTGAGCCCCTCATCAGGCTCTGTGCTGACATGACAGCTCATTGCCTGGAGCCTGCTCAGATTTTGTGTTTCCCTCACTCTCTCTCTCTGCCCCTTCACCACTTGTACTCTTTCTCTAAAAAATAAACATTAAAATTTTTTAAAAGTATAGATTGTTTTGCCCAAATTTATGTTTGTTTTTTTAAATTTTTATTTATTATTTTTTTTAGAGAGAGAGCACCAGGGAGAAGGTAGAAGAGAGAGAATTTAAGCAGCCTCCAATGTCAGCAGAAAGTCCAACATGGGGTTTGATCCCACAACCCTGGGATCATGACATGAGCCAAAATCAAGAATTGGATGCTCAACCAACTGAGCCACCCAGGTGCCACTGGGTTTTAATGTGACACCAGTCAAATTTCCATTGTACATTCACTTAATGGAATACTAAAAGTATTGTTTTAACTTAAAAAATATCTTTAAAAGAATAATGTGAGAATGTATATACGATAAACTCAGTTTTAAGAAACTGTTCAATTAATAACTTTTCAAAATGCATAAAAAGCCTAAAAAATAATGAAAATTTAACTATTGCTATCTCTAGGTAGCATATATTGGGAAGTGGGGGAACTGGCTTGTTTCTCACTACCCATGTCATGATCAACCAGAAAGGAAATACTCAAGTGAAATTTACAAAAACTCAAGGTCAAAAAGTCAGAAGCCACACCTTTCATAACACATATTTTGCAGGTTAATCTAATCATTTCAAAGTATTTTCATTTCTCATAGAAAAGAGGAAAGTATGAATTAGGGTCAAAGGAGAGTTGAAAACAGGCCTTGAGTAGGAGATTGGATACGACGGACCAAATTGTGTGTCAGCTGTGAGAATCACACCACCATAAAGCCTATTCCCATTTTCCCAGGTGGTGGACTCAAATTACTGAAACCCTCTGTCCATGAAGACCTCCCCAACTCACTGCAGTTCTGAGACCCGTGTATACCCCAGCAAGCTACCCAATCACAAACACAAATGAGGCTGTCCAATTGATGTGGAAATCTTGAAGTTTGGAGCTGATGGCCAGGAAAGAATTCTTGAGATGTCTTTGGTGCCCCCCCCCCCCAAAAAAAAGCGTTTTAATAAAGCATGCGGACATGACATGCAGGCAGGAAGAGCTGCACAGGAGTTGTAAAGGGACAACACAAGCCTCCAAGGATTTTGGAAACAAGGTTTCCAGGACCTTGAGGGGGTAGCTGTTGTTAGGTAAAGGTGATTTATTAAACCCTCAGTCACAAGACCCTTCAGATGCAGATCAGTGGGCCGTATGCTTAGAGAATGATAGCTAACATATATCTTGAGAGGTAGAGATAAAGGAAGCTTCCAAAGGAATTTCTCTAATTTAAAAAAGACATACAGAACCCTGGGGGTTTAGGATAATGTTACGCTAAGACTGCCTTTTGCCCTTAGCAAAGTGTCAACTTCCAGGCAGCTGAGCTCTCATAAGACAGTCACTCTGCCTATTTCAAGGACTGGCCAATGGGCTAAAGAAATTTAATTTTTTCTTTTGCCTTTGTTCCCCACATCACAATCACTCAAGCCCACACTTCTGTCCCATCCTGAATCAAGTCACCCCATTCAAAAACCCAAAGCATTTAGGTTATCGCGGACTCACCCACCCAACCAACCAAACATAGGCCACCAAAAATCCCCAAGGAAGGATGCCTGGGTGGCTCAATTCATTAGCAACAGACTTAGGCTCAGGTCATGATCTGACGGTTCATGAGTTCCAGCCCCATTTTGGGCTTTGCACCAAAGTGCACAGCCTGCTCGGGATTCTCGCTCTCTACTGTCTCTCTTCCCCTCCCCTGCTTGCGCTCAATTCTGTCTCTCTCTAAAACAAAACAAAACACACACACACAAAGCCTTCAAGGAGTGATCCCTAGCCCCGCTGACCTACTCCCGTGACACCTTCTCACACCGAAGCCTCCTCTCCCCTCACTTATCACAGATCCCCTAACCCACCGCCAGATGTCCCCAGGCTGTCTTCCTCAACTGGACCCCACCACCCCGCCCACTCGTTGGGCGCCGCCCCTCTAAGCGAGCCCTACAGCCTCCTCAGTGCATCACCAGAAGTTTAAAAGAACGGCACACAACACTTCCGCTTCCGGTGCACCCCGCGCCGACCACGTCTACCGCTAGCTCTTGGGCACCTGGAGATAAAATGGCCTCATCATTCCAAAGACTGGAATTCAGGACCGTGGATACGTGGCAAGGAATGCGGCTGCCCGCATTGAGCGGCTTCCCAATGGGAGCGGCTGTCTTGAAATAGTGCGGGACCGACGCCTCCGCTCACTTCTTCCGCTCTCGGTCCCGCTTCCTCGGAAAGCCTTTCCGGCCCGCGCCTCCGCAACACGTCAGGGCCGCTACGCATGCTCAGTAGCGCGGCCGACGCGCCGCGCCTCCGGGAGCCGCTACGCATGCCCAGTAGCGCGGCCGATGCGCCTCGCCTCCCGACCCGGCACCTCCAGCAGCTGGGATGGTAGCTGGTGCAGTAGGTAGCGGAATCCGGGAAGAGCTCTGATGAAGGGCAGCGGGCTCTGCGGGGGACACAGACCCGTGCACTGAAGAGCTGTAACTCCAGGGTTCGGATAGAGGTTGTGGAAGAGGAAACACGGGCCAGTAGGAGGGGGAAGCCAACCGCGAGGGCAGGCCGAGTGCCTGACCCTGAGAAAGAGGGTCCGGTGGAGGGGTACCGGGAGCCCGGAGCTCAGACGCGAGGGGCTCTCCACGTGGCCGAGGTGCCCGGCTGCAGCAGAGCCGGGGAACTGTTGCGAATCCTAAACCCAGAAAAAGTGCAGCGGTGAGCTAATGCATTTCTGGAAACGTCTGCTGCGCTCCGCAGATCATACGAACCAGCCCTACCCCAAACTCCACAATCTGTTACACATCCTGGGAAATAAAAAGTTCAAGTCCAAAGAAAAGTATACTTCATCTAGACGCCTCCAACCTATCTGTGGGTTGGAGATGTCACATAAAGGCCTTGCTTTAAGTGCCTCTTCACACGGCGGAAGAGGATTTCGTCATCTCCCCGAGGACAAAATGGATACCCAGGCTCAGCGGACCTGTTGTCAGGCTGCAGCAAAATCCCCTGGTGTACACTTTTATGGCTCTTATTACCTAGAGAATCCTCAGTGTTTGAGTTCCACTGTTTGTTTTAATTTTTTTAAATTTATTATTGAGACAGAGTGTGAGAGGGGGAGGGGCAGAGGCAGAGAGAGAGAGGGAGAAACAGAATCTGAAACAGGCTTCCAGGCTCTGAGCTGTCAGCACAGAGCTCGATTCGGGGCTCAAACCCACGAACCGCGAGATTATGACCTGAGCCGAAATCGGTCGCTTAACCCACCGAGCCACCCAGGCGCCCCATCCACTGTTTAAGTTTTGATTTACACGGTTTTTTAGGTTTAGAAATGATGTTTTGATTATGTACGGATGCATGATAATATAAAAGATGTGATAGTCTCTTTAAGTTCAGATGATTCTGAAAAGACAAGTAGGAAACCAAATGGCAAATAGGTACATAACAAAATGGTGAAGTTGCTGAACCTATTTTATAAGTACATAGGGGTCATCATTATTTAGACTTTCAACCTTTTTATACTTAAAAATTATTAGAATGCAAAGTTGGAAAAATAATTATTTCTTCTTTGACTCATATAATGTGGGGGATAGGTTTAAGAATTCTCTGAGCTTGCACCAATGGGTTAACAAGGCTTAGGGCAGAAAGCCACTCCCACAAGAGCATCTGAGAACAGGTAGAGAAGTTAGAGGTGGCAAAAGTGCCCCAGGTTTGCTAGACAGAAAAATGTCTTATGAACCTGGAGGTGGCAATCCCCATTCATTTTATTCCCTAGAAAAGTTAAGGGAAACAAATACAGTGCCTGCAGTAAAGGGCTGCCTGCTTGACACTGAGATGTGGATTTCTCTTGACCCTAACACCATGTACCTTCGAAACCCCTTCTCTCTCACACACATGAATTAACAGCTACTCCTTTATTGTCTTTCTGCACATCCATCACATATGTAGGTCTCTGATCCTAACAAATATGGAGAAAGGACCTTACTCAGGGTCCTGTCTCCTCCCAAACGTTAGCTTCTCTTGTATTCATTTCTTCTGCATCCACTCTCTTGCTGGACAAGAGAGAATTCCAGACTCCAGGTCTACAACAATGTAATATTTATAGTTTATTTCCCGATTTCCAAAATTACAGATTTCTAGCTAATTTTTGTCATGGACTTCTTAGTGTATGTCAGCTTACAGAACAAGAGTGCACATTTTTAGTGCTTTTAAGTTTAGATTTGCATTATAGGCTAGAACATGGCAAACACGGTAAACTGGAAAATAAGTGCTTGAAAATTCTGTGAATTTTGAGAACATTGTATTCAATACCTCCATTATATCGATTTTTGTTAAGTATGTTGTTCAAAACTTCCTTTTATAAATATTTTTATCAGCTTATTCTGTAACATACTGGTAGAAAGGGATTGAAATCTCACTCTATGATTGTAAACTTGTCTCTTTTATACTTCATACATTTCTACTCTGAGTCATGATCTAATGTATTTCTTTCCAATTTTAGTGGCCATCCCCTTATGGGGGATTGTTTTTTTCTGATACTTCTATACTTGTACCAGTTTTGTCCTGTTTAGTATTTGCATGAGATACTTTTTAATAAAGAAAATCCATCCTATGTTTTATGTGGTTATTTCATTTTAAAAGATATTTTTGTTTTAGTTATCAAGTCTGACAAACTATTTAACTCTTGTTAATAGCATTTGATGCATACGGATAAACTTGTGTTTGCATCTACCTCTTTTTATTTGGGTTGCTTATTCTGTGTTTCTTTATATTCTGCCTTCCTTTGAGTTTATAATTTTTGGCATTTAATCATTCTGCCTTTGCCCTTGACTAGTTTGGAAAATATACACCCTTTACTTATTCCCTTAATGATTACTTTAAATGTGCATTTTTAAGGTTTTATTTATTTAAAATTAAAATTTATTTTAGAGAGAACATGAGTGGGGAGTGTGGCAGATACCAGCTGCTTCCAATTTTTCAGAACTCAGAGACAGAAGAGTTGTTGGGGCGCCTGGGTGGCTTAGTCAGTTGAGCGTCCGACTTTCGCTTAGGTCATGATCTCGCGGTTCGTGGGTTCGAGCCCCGCGTCGGGCTCTGTGCTGACTGCCAGCTCAAAGCCTGGAGCCTCTTTCGGAGTCTGTGACTCCCTCTCTCTCTGACCCTCCCCTGCTCACGCTGTCTGTCTGTCTGTCTCTCTCCTAGAAATAAATAAAAAATATTAAAAAAAAAAAAAGAGTTGTGATTACTCATCACGCCTAAATCTCAGTATTTTGGGGGGCACCTGGCTGGCTCAGTCAGTTAAACTTTCGAATCTTGATTTTGACTCATGATCTCATGGTTCAGGGGATTGAGCCCAGCGTTGGGCTCTGCACTGACAGTGTGGAGCCTGCTTGGAATTTTTTTTCTCCCACTCTCTCTCTCCTTCCCTCCCCTGCTCGTGCACACACACTCTCTCTCAAAATAAATAAACGTTAAAAATAATAATAATGGAAAGGGGAGGGAGGATTTGGAGAAATGTTGAAAAGGGACCTTGTTTAATCTATAGAGTTTAACTTTTACACCACACGTATTGATATATTTAAATTAATTAAATCTGAGTGACAGCCAGAAGACAATTTGTTGTAAAAAATGTATTATCCCAAAGGGCTAAAAAGTATACCAGATCCACTTACAGGGTTTTTTTTTATTTTAAAGTCTTGATTAGTTTTAAGCCTAATTACTTCCCTTGCAATTTATGAGATATACAAAAATTTACAATGTTGGCAATTCTTGATGGATGCTTCATACAAACAAGAATTTTATGGTATACTATTTTCTTTCATGATCTTATGAAACCTGAAACTCATTACATACATGGGCTACAAAAATACTCTGGACACAAAAGCAAATATGTACATCTTGGACCTTTTTTTTTTTTTTTTATGTTTTATTTATTTCTAGGAGAGAGAGAGAGAGACCGCGTGAGCAGGGGAGGGTCCGAGAGAGAGGGAGACACAGACTCTGAAACAGGCTCCAGGCTCTGAGCTGGCAGTCAGCACAGAGCCCGACGCGGGGCTCGAACCCACGAAGCGCGAGATCATGACCCAAGCGAAAGTCGGACGCTTAACCGACTAAGCCACCCAGGTGCCCCTGGACCTTTTTTAATTTACTGCTTTGACTATTCCATATTTTCAAACATGAAACAAAGTGTCCTTTGGCATACTGAAGTTACTTGCTCTTGACTACTTCATGTTATATTTTCTATAAACAAATGGTAACATGACAGGAACAGAATTATTAAGTTTATATGTAAGCAACTGGCCCAGCATCATTACACTACAGTAATTCTCCTTAATAAGTATTATCGGATGCACAGTAACTTTTGGACTTCATGCCAGAGGCATCTCTTATCATGTCTTCAGTCATCTATCCTCTTTGGTATGAAAACTCATTTGTTTGGGAGGTGTTCCATGATTCACAACATTTATGAGTTTTTTTCCCCCTCAGTGACAACTATTATATGATGACCCATCAAACACATCTTTTGCAGACAGCTTCTACTTCTGTATGATGTATAATGGGATTTTATTTTCAAAAAAAGATGTTGACTTTTCACCTAATTTTATGCTTTTTCCTAATAAAATTAGGCTACACTGGTGGTAGATGGTTTTCCTATATTCACTGCATTTAAAAGGTCTCTCCTGGATAAGTTTTCTGAAACTGACAAAGACTGAAAGTATCCCAATGTTCCCTGCATACAGGGCATCCCTTGTGTGGATTCTCTTGTATTCAGTGAGATCTGGCCCTTCACTACAGTCTTTTCAGCGCTCACTGTGTTCCTGAGATTTCTTTCCTGTGTGAATTTCCTCGTGCGAAGTGAGAAAGAACTTGACAGAGAACGTTTTCCCACACTCATTACACTGATAAGGTTTCTGTCCCCCGTGACTTCTCTGATGAACACTGAGGTACGATTTCTCAAAAAAGGTTTTCCCACACTGCGTGCACTGATATGGTTTTTCTCCTGTGTGGCGTCTCTGGTGTCTAATGAGCTGTGACTTCTGGTTGAAGATCTGACCGCATGGAACACACCCATAGGGTTTCTCTCCAGTATGGCACCGTTGGTGGATAATAAGATGGCTTTTTTGGCGGAAAGCTTTTCCACACTCATTGCATTCATGGGGTTTCTCTCCTGTATGAATCAGCTGATGTCTACTGAGCATTGCCATACTGCTAAAAGCTTTCTGGCATTCGAGACATACAAAGGGTTTCTCTCCTGTATGTGTTCTCTGATG